ACAACAGCAGGTGACAACCAGATATATATCGCTAACACCATAGCGAACGCCGACTTCTTCCACGCCTCCCTGTTAAATAACTCAAAGGCATTATGCGCTGCACCGAACAGTGAGTCAATGGCATGAACGGTGTAGCTTTTGCGACTGACGGCTCGCCAGGCAACTTGCTGGTGCGCTGTCAAAACAGCAACAACGAAACTTGCTTTTGCAACAAAGGCTAGAAATTGACCGAGACGTAACCACCATTGCTGATTCGTAGCTTCTCGGTTATGAAGATGAGAGTAAAGAATGTGATGGCCAATGGCTGCAGCCGCGCCGAAGACAAGACAGACGACCATGCACCATTTATTCTTTGCGATGCGGAGCCATAATGGGTCTTTGGGTGGTGGCGGAGGAGGTTGATAGAGGCCAAGTCCATGTGCCGGTTCTGAGTTGAGGAGGTTCACACGACTATTATCTCTTCCACCCGAGGCATATGAGCCGCGCAAGTCTGGACTCAAGGGTTCAAGAGGGTGGATGCCAGGACGGGGAGAGTCAAAGTCTGATCGGGGTGAGAGGTATGAGGTTTGGTGGATAATGGGTGTGTCGGTGGGTGTTGGCGCGATCTTGGGGTCAGAGTGAGGGTCGTCAATGTGTTGGTATTCGGGTGAAGACCTGAAGAATGACGTTGATGCTTGCCGCATATTGTCGGTAGGTACCCGTCGGGTCGAATATTATGCCTCAGGATGTAAGCATGAGCTTGACTCTTAAGCCCAGGAACGGCTAGCGTTAATCAGTAGTGTAGGTTCTCCTTGGCCTCTAATCAGTCTTCAAGGGTGACAAGGTCCATGGTGATACAAAGAAGACACGGCTGCGCCCGTTGCAGTTCAGTTCATTCATATTTGTCTCTTCTCAAGAAAAAATCAGCTTCTGCTCTTGTGGCTGAAAAGAAATGAGGGGGCTTTCCCGTTGCGAACCCCTGAAGCTGACATGCTGACAATACGGAGCAGTTGAACCGTTTGAGGTCGGATTATTGGCTGGATTCTGTCTAGCAACGCTTGGCTTTTCCATGTTGGGGGCTGAATCTCACACGAGCCAGTAGCAGTTTCAGGGCTGATCTTAGAGATCCACTTGGCGGGATCTAATTTAATCAGCGATGGAGTCTACTGGGTCCAACCATGCAAGAGGCTGGATGTGGATAACAGAACTTAACCTATACTTGGCTCTTTAGATTGTCCAAGACAGCTTCTCATTTGCTATATGCATATGCCTGTGTTTGTCCTGATAGTAAAGATTATGCACTTAAAAACAACCTTTACAACTCTTTCTACGTGAGTTTTTAAATATATCTCTCGTGGACTGCAGGGGCACATTTGCGGTGGCGAGCTCCCAGCACAGTTCAAATTTCCTCATCGCTCAATATCCACGAAACACAATTTGACAAAGTCCAACTCCAATTGTCCTTTGTGTTTTGTCCGAGATACACACTAAATCTGCCATACATTCATTGACTAACAACACAGACCAACTTCCACGTGACTTGAATCAGACCTTCACAGCTACAACTTTCGCCCCCTCAGTCACTGTCCCATTGATGGGTTTAAACAACCCGCCACCTGTAGATACATAAAAGACATCCTTGTCCTTCTTTCCCCTCCCAAAAGCCAATGAAGTCGAGCCCGCCACAGTCAATTCACTGACACTACCGACAACAATCTTGGCCTTACCCGACTTGACATCCACAAATACAACGGAGTTATCAGAGTTACTCGTAGCATAGATGTTCCCGTGATCATCAAACTCAAAGTCATCAAGAAAGGTCACAACGTGCGATAAATCCGCGACAAGTTGAGGTTTGGATCCCTTGACAGGATATCCAGTTGGGGTTATAGCTGTTTTGTAGATCTTGACAGCGTTGGAGTTTGACCAGTAGAGATAACCTTGGCGGATCCTGATACCGTTGATGCCGAATGCGTTTGGCGCTGGGGGAGCCATTTCTGGGAAGGTGAACGTTGTGTCATCGAATTCGCCAGTTGATACATCGAGACGACCCACGAAACCTTTCACCGAATCGGAGATCAGCACAGCATTTGGTGCACCTGGGATGGCAGCCACGCCGTTGAGAAAAGTGCTCTTCTTTGTCATGTCGCTGATCTTTCTGACCCTAACTCTGCGCTTCCCATAGAACTCTACAGCAAATGCTTTGAAAGTGCCAGGAATCAATTGACTGAGTCCAGTTGCATTGCTACCGACGACAACAAAGGTCTCAGGCTTGCCAGGACACGGAGGAAGTTCGGCGATTCCCAGAAGACCTTGGATGGAGGGAAATGTCACCAGTTGTTTCAATTTGTTGCTGGATGGTGGATATGTGATTGTGTAAATTGAGGCGGTAGGCCAGAGCTCAGTGACGAGCAAATCTCCATTGGAGCGAACAGCGATGTTCTCGAGCCATGTACCGAGTGAGAGTTGAGAAATTGTCTTTGCCGCGAGTGAATGAGAAAGGGCAAGGGCTGGGAGAGTGAGGGTGGTTATCAGGTGATTGAACAACATCGTGGTATCAGTGGCAGGTTCAGCTTTCAGTTTGAGAGGTGAAGAGACTTGCGTCGTTTTCTTCCGTGGGAGAACAGCTATTTGTGCAACTCAGACTTTGAGCCTTGCAATTCAGCCTGTTCATGTTACCACCAATAATGCAGTTCTCGTTTAGTAGTAATTTTAATTGGTTCTTTGAGAAACTAATATACAATAAAGAATTGAAGTCGGCCGACGATAAGGCTTAGTGAGGTTATTACATGATTACACACCCATTTAGTCAGCTTACCCTCGTTTTCGTCAGCCTCCACTCTATGGTAACACGAAAACTCTTACACATGCATATCTTCCATCCATCTAAGGAAGATCTTCCCATGCGTGATCAAACATATCAAGGTACACCACAGTTCCTTGACCCAGCAGCACATCGATCTGTATAGTCCATAAAAAAGGTACCCTGCGAAAGTGTACAATCGCTGTTTCCATCAAACACTCCCCACAAAGTACACTGGGGATCAATTGAGCAAGCGCGCGCACACAGCGGGACAGAGTTGAATTGGGGGATCCTCCTGTATCCACTGACAGCCTCAGCGCTATAAGTGTTGATCTGACCATTGCAAGGTTCGAGTTGCGGTTTGAAGAAGTCGGATGAGCAGCTTCGGGAACCAGCTAGTAGAATCCTGTCGCCTTGGGAGTTGCCTTGGGGCGTAAAGATATCTGCGAATTGACCCGTGAACTTATAGCAGGTTTGCGAAAGGCCTTCGTACTGCCAGACATCGCAGCGGTCGTCCTTCATACACAAATGCGCACAATCCTTCTCAAGTTGAACATTTTGGACCGATTCTACTGGGTCCGCATCCATAGATCCGAAACCAATGTTATCTCCACAAGGAGAATAGTCGCGCGGAGAACAGTTGCGTGAACCAATGAGGTTACTATCTTCGTTCTTGGGACTGCTCATCGCATCGAATTGTTCTCGGTAAAGCTGGCAGACGCCGGCCGTTTGGAAGAACCATGTGTTGCATTGTTCGTCGGCTGAGCATGCTTCCCAGCAATCGGCCTCAGACTGGGCATCGGTTGAAGTGTAGCCTCGGTTTTGAGCTGTTCCTCGGTAGATCTGATTGTTGCACGGTATATCTGCGACAGCTGAAGTAGTGGCGGCAGCAGTAGTGGTCTCAGACAAGGTCGAGGTAAAGTCGGTTGTTGTTGCAATTGTCGATTCGGATACAGAGATAGTGGTGGATGTGAACTCAATGGAACCTGTTGAGGTTGATCCAGCAGTAATTGAAGAATCAGAGATGGTAATCGTCTCGGTCTCGGCGGTGAAATCGGTGCTGGACTGCACTGAGCTGCTGATCTCAGTGCTGATCTCAGTGGTGGAGGATGCCGCGATGGAACCGGATGCAGTTAGTGCTGAGGTCGCCGAAGCTTCAGCGCTGCTGCCACTAGAAATGCTAATGGGCTTACAAGGTCCAGCGGCAACACCAGTGATTCCAATCCCCGCCAGACCAGCGATAATATTCCTCGGGTTAACCATGATTGCAAGATAAAAGGAGCGACTGCAATGGGGAGAGATATTCTTGAGGCAAAGAGATCTGGTAATCCATTTATGCTTCTGGTTTAAATGAAGTGGCTTCTCAAGACCAAGGTCTAGATCGGGTAGTGACAGGTCTCTGCGCTAGTGCAGGGGATAATGGGCTGAGAAAAAGCAAGCGAAGAAGCTATTGGAGTCTATTGGTATAAGTCACCAATACTCCTTCAACTAAATAAAATTGCAGCAATGACAGACATCATAATGTCAACCACGGAAGCAGCTGGGCATTTTCTTAACGGCCCTGTTCGTGAACATGGAGTTGTAACCCTTTGAGAGTCTACCTCTGGAAATGAATACGCCATCCCTTTTCATTTGTTCACCCTGAGTGCCTTTCAGTTTCTCTTTCTCTTTCTTGAGAGCCATTTGAAACATTCGGTCCTTCAGCAAACTCTTATCGTGATGACTTCTTTGATTTCTTTCTTTCCATTCCTTAATCTCATCCCGACCCCTCAACATCAACCCACTTTGAACTCGGGCCTATTGTCTCATTCTTATTCCAACCGAGCTCATGAACCCGCCCCGGGTGGGCAACAGAAGAAACGTCCCCTAAGGCTTAGGCTACAAAAATAAAGGTGCCTAAATGCTGGCCTAAGCTGGCTAAATGTTTTCGTCTCTTATGCTTCTAGGAGTCATTTCTTTTGAAACCCTGAGACTGCGCTACTACTTCAAACGAGCTTTTGTTCCCGCTCCTCGGCACGGACCATAGGAGCAGTCTCACCGTCGAAGTAAGTCATATGGGGGATCATAACGGGGTCCGTAGTAAAAAGAGGCTTGGTGTTAAGAGCGATAGAGAGCAGAGAGAGGAGAGAGACTACTGTTTATGATCATGAAATCTTTTTGCTGTCGCGATTCGCTTTGAGAAGTGATAGCGCTGCCGCTCTCAACAATCCAAATATCAGCATCCATGGTGTAGTGGTTAGCATTAACGCCTTCCATGTGAAACAAGCGTTAGAGTCGGGTTCGATTCCCGATGGATGCATTTCTTTTCCTTCTGCCTGTCCTATTCTGTTTCCTGTATCCTTTTTGCCTGTCGCTGGATGTCTCAAGGCTGTATGTACCCTTCCCGGTACCTTGGCTCAAGCCTCCCCGTTGTGTTTAGTTTATCTTCTTGGTTATATAGCCCATGTGAAAAAGCAGACTAATCGGTTTTGAAGTGGAAATTTCGCTAAACAACAGCCTGCAGTTGTGGTTCAAAGTGGGTAACAGAAGAATTGTCCCCCAAGACTTAGGTTGCCGGAATAAAGTAAAAAGCTATAAAGTAACTAAACCATCTCGTCTCTTATGCTTCTGGCAGTTATCTCTCTTGACATCCCCAGGGGTCCCTAGCAGAGATGATACTGCTAGTCTCCGGACCAGACAGGGCAATCATAAAAAGATATAGACCAGTCTTGAACAATACATTCATAAATTCGTTCGAATGAGGTTATCTCTAAGAATCCAGAGACATCCTAATACCGCTGTATCTGATGTCAATGCCTTTCCGCACAAACACACCAAGGCTTCAGTCTCTCAAGCCTCAATAATCTGGAACAGAGTAACTACGTAGTAACAAATCGCTCATCTTGTCAACATCCGTGCTGGACTTAAGAAAGACCACTTGGCAAACTTGCGGGTATCCTAGCGTGGATACACAGGAGGACAGGTGTTGCATTACAACCCAATGCCTGAGCCACTTCCCATTTACGTAGGCCAATGAAGTGGGATTAGTTAAATAGTAACTCTTGCCCTTCGTTAAATTTTCTGAAAATGTTAAAAAAAAAAAAAAAAGAAGGGGATGTAAACGGGATCTAACCGTTTGAGCTGGACGAACAGGGAATCGAACCCTGGACCACTCCCAAATTATTCAGATGAATTGTGCTAAGGGAGTATTATACCACTAAACCATTCGCCCGATTTGGATGACCTGTGCATCAGTACCAGCTCACAAGAGCTTGAGCCAGCAGTCTCAAGGGAAGCAAGAAGACCGTATGCCTTCAATATCAAGATAAACGCAAACGTCACATTTGGCCTTTGCTCCGATTTCAATGGCAAGTCACGGGCCAAGGAACAGATTGAGTTGACCGGCCCCTGAGGTTACCTATAACCCTTGCATTGTAGTATTCTGAAACGACATCAACTCGCAGTAACTAAGTCTGAACAACATCAAGCAAAGTTGATGCAGCACTAGACACAAGCCTGGATATGTAAATTTAACGATATTCAGTGTTTGTTTGGCTTTCGATTTCCAGTCTTAACCTATTGGAACTCTAAGAATACAGCTATTGCTTATCTTACTAACAGGTCAGCAACCTGCGCCTTTTCTACTATAACCATCAGTGAGGTCTCTGTGTCACAAACGCTGTTTACAGCTATGGAGACAATCTCTGCCCGCCTATTTAAGACCATTGCGAAATTGTGATTGGTAAAATAAAATGGAAAATGCAGGAATTGGCGATATGGAGCGGGTAGGTAGTCTGTTCCTACTGGGCAGAATCACAAACCCTTAACGCCCATGCTAACGGTAACGGAAGTTGAACTGGCCTCTTGTTATAACGAGGATTACCAACTCCTTATAAGGGCTTCCAAATTGGCAAGTAATTAGTAGTATGAACACAACAATCTCGACAGCTAGCTTTTACAGATAAGATAACTAGTCTAACCTCCACGCTTCCTAGATATCTACCTACCGACATTGTCTGTTTAAGTTTTCTTAACGGATAGTTATCAAGATTTACATTTTAAAGAAAGACGTTTAAGTAACTACGAATATGTTAAAGACGTTGAGTCTATACCGTCAGCCAGTTCCTTCGAGGACTAAGAACGGAACAGCGAATTACAATATACCACGGAACACATTGAGCAAGACACAAGACAGAACAGAGAACAAAACCATTATTCAAGGTAGAACTATGCCTTGATAAAATTCAAATTGAAAAATGAAATAGAAATATATTTCTCAAGTACTAGCTAAATGAGTGTGGTTGGTATATCCAGCATACCAATCCGGATGAAACCGGTTACCGAAACGAGAGGGTACTGCAAACGCGTCTATTCAGGCAATATTCATAATTTGAAAGAACTCTTTTTAGGCCTACCTAATTTATTCCGAAATTCAAGGAGAAAGATATGTACCCTACCCTAGTTTCTGATAGTTAACTGCTATATAAGGAAGCTTGTCTAAGTTGCATCTTATATTGCTTTCACATATATATTGCCAGCCGACTGCAATATTGAGGCAGGATTATCAAGACGACATCGCTCAAGGTTGATCACCAGACCGGGCCAAGCGCAGGGCACCCCAACGTCCTTGTTGCCCTACCCAGTCCACTTCGGCCGCATAAACTACCTATAGTGGACTCACAAGAGATGCCTTATGGGCAGGCTGATGCTTCAATTATTATGGAACGCAAGAGTGATTGAACGGTGCGAAGGCATTATGCTATGGTACAGCGTCACCTGTAGCAATGCCCGCAATAACACAAGCAACCAGAATGTATAAGCGTTGAACTACCAATGGAATTAGTTCAAAGGAACCTAGTTCGACTGTTGAACCCCATCCACGATGTCCAAGCCCACCGTAGGGACCTGATACTTGGCTCTGGCTCGCAGTAGATAATAAAAAGCTCCAGCAACGGTCCAACCACTCATGACGACAATGGAGTAATTCATGTTCTGTGCTGTAACGGGTAGAGCGGAGGGAAATGTACTAAAGACTACAACAATTGTAATCCACACGAGGCTGATAATGTTGAGGAGAGGGCCTGCAATTTGTCCCAGCTTGAAAGGCCCAAAGCTATCAGATGCCACAAGGCGTCGTCTTGCAATGAGCATTGCAATAATAGGAAGGGCATAGCTGATATACATGCCGATGATAGCCATAGATAGAAACGCGTTGAACGCTGTCGTGTTACCGAGGTAGATGAATCCAAGAAGCATCTGTAAACCGGTTGTTACTGCAACAGCGTGGACCGGAATCTGTAGTCGTTCGTTGACTTTACTGAGGTGCTTGTCGAATGGCGTGGACTTGTCTCGAGCAAATGCCCACAGAGTTCGGGAAGTGGATGTAACGCCAGCAACGGTTGCAGCAGTAGCGATGCACACAATGATAAGAGACAGAAGAGTAGTGCCCACATTGCTCTTTGTTGCGTCAAGGAATATCTGAACGAACGGGTATCCGGTCGGGGTCTTCAGGAGCGTCTCCAGTGAGCCAGTTGAGAATAGAAGTACAATCACGTATACAAGGCCAATCAATGCGTTGACACCAACACTGCCGACCATGGCAATGGGGACATTTTGGCTTGCATTGGGCATCTCTTCTGATAAATGGCATGCAGCATCATACCTGAGAGGGTTAGCACGCAGTCCAAAGGGGGGAAGAAGAAGAAGACATACCCTAGGAAAGGGTACACAGCACTCAAAAGGCCGACAAGCCATGAAACACCATCATCTTTCCACCCACTGTAGTTAGTAACCTCTGTGAAGACAAAGGAAGCAGAGTTCTTATGAGCCATGACGCCAAGAACGATAACAATGGCAAAGAAACCAACAACGTGGATGATACCTGCAGCAAATGTTAGCAGACGGACTGACTTAGCCTACTGATACTGACCGGACACAGTATTGTGTAACGGTAGGGCTCTGTGACCCCAGACGTTGAGCACAAAGGCGTAGGACAGAATAGCCCAGTAGAACAAAAGACCTTGCCACCGTTGTGGTATGTATGCGGAATCGTTGACAATGACGAGAGCTTGTGCCTGAAGACCAGCGGCAAAGGCAGCCGAGGCGGTCAATACTATCTGGCCTCCCACACAAGTCCAGCCGGTCATGAAGGATACGGGCGTTCGGATCCGTGAAGATGTGAGAGCTGCTACCCAGTGGTACTGTCCTAGCACAGGTTAGTGATAAATACAATTGTAGAAATCGATGCTGTCTTACCTCCTGCGGTAGGGTACATTGAAGCAATCTCACCCAGTGAGCTGGCAATGCACAATGAGCAGATAGCTGAGAGAACACTGGGGCTTGTAAGGGTGGTGTTCAGTCATCGGAAAGGCAACACGTACTAATTGTAGAAGAGACACGGTGCTCCTCCATTGATCAAAGCTGTAGCGATGACAGTTGATAGAGCTTCCCAAGTTGCCATAAGACAGACGCACAATGCCCCCAAGGAGAATAAGGAATATTCTCGACGTAACTCCTGGGCGTGGCCGAGCTGTGCAAGACGCAAGGCATCTTCGTTGTCGGCAATGGCTGGGTTTCTGTCGTCGACAGCATTTCCGTTGTCCTTTGCAGAAGCCATCTGGTACTTCTCGAGGTCTGCATCGTGATTTCCAAAGTTAGAAGGCATTTTTAAATGATATAAGTCCTTCCAGTTGATTCGGAACGTCGCTGCGCTGACCATGTATAAAAAGGATTTGATAAGAAGACATACGCAGCCTGCCGGCATTTACAGGCCGATCAGACACTAGCCAGGGACGGAAGGTGGACGAGAGATCGGTACTGATAACGCGGGGAAGTGGAACGCTAAGACCTAAGTTGGTGTAGATGGAGATAAGGCCGTTTGGGGAGGTGAAGCTGGTTCCGCGTTCCGACAGCTTTAATACCAGTGCTCGGAAATGTTTTCCGAGGACATTCCGAGATTTCATTAGCTATTTTACGGTCAAGTATCTGAGACCTGCAAAACGTGTTTTTATCCTTCAAACAGAATCATTCTCACTGTCTTCCTTTCCTCTCAATCACCTCATTATCCATCATGGCCTACCCTCATCCTCTCTCTGCGCTGAGTAGTAGGGAAACAAACCTTGCGCGAGATATTGTCAAGGAAGCACATCCTGGCTCGACATTGTACTTTAGACAATCCTATCTCTTTGAGCCGCCCAAAGCAGAAGTCCTGAAATTTCTACAACTTGAGCACTCTGGGAACTTGCACACCACGTCACCACGACCTGATCGCTGCGCTCAAGTGTTCTACGACATCATTGGTGGAGATCAGCAAGTGCAGTATTATGAGTCGGTCGTTGATCTGACTCAAAAGACGATTGTTGAGCAGGAGGTCATCAGCCCTGAGCATCAATCAAGTCTTACTATGTGAGTACCAGGACATCCCAGAAGGCGCTTTACTAATGCGACTAGTTACGAGTTTGACACCGTCGTGAAAGCTGTCCAAGAATCCGAGTTATTCAAAGAAAAGCTGAGCAAAATCAGGCTGCCCGTTGGATTCGAGCCTGTCATCGAGCCTTGGCCTTATGGTGCGCCAGATGTTCAAGATGGCAACACGCGTTACTTCCAAGCCCTCATTTTTGCACGCGACACAAGAAAGGGCCCAGACACCAACTTCTACTCGCATCCAATCCCTCTTATTCCTGTTATGGATGCCAGAACAAAGAAGATTGTTCGCATTGAAGAAGCGGCTACTGGTGGCAAGGGCGACAGTTTGACGGCCAAGACGCATGCGCCTGGTCTGCTTGATCACTGCAAGTCCGCAGAGTATGTCCCCGAGCTTCTTCCTGGAGGTACTCGGCAGGACTTGAAGCCATTGATGGTCGTGCAACCAAATGGACCTAGCTTTTCCGTTACAGAGGGTAACCTTGTTCAATGGCAAAAGTGGCGGATGCGTGTGACATTCAATCCTCGCGAAGGAGCTGTTCTGCACGATATCCGATACGATGGCAGGCCGATTATGTACAGACTGAGTATCAGCGATATGGTAAGATGACTCAACGCCCTGTTCAACAGCTGTTCTGACACCCTCTAGACTGTTCCCTACGCCGATCCGCGACCGCCTTACCACCGAAAGCAAGCATTTGACTTTGGTGATGGTGGTCTCGGCAATGCCGTTAATAACCTAACACTTGGGTGTGATTGCCTCGGAGTCATCAAGGTAAGACGGCTGTCTAACCTCGGTTGGGTTGAGTC